ATGGCCGAGTCCCGCACCCCGAAACATTGCAAAGGATTTGTTGCAACAGGGTGTTCAGGCTCGCCAATGGTACGGCGACATGTTCAACAAGTACTTCCGCGTCCTACAGTCTATTGATTCGTTTCAACTCCGTCCGGAAATCGATCACCATATCAAGAATAGTGGGAGATTGATGTTGATTCCCTTTGTGGACCATCTCATATTCGGAGCCGTAGACCCTATCATACCAATCGTGGCGAAAGGAGCAGGTTATGCAAATGCCAAAGGGAGAGGGAACGACAGAAACACGCCAGGCTTCGGTGAGCCAGGGAAGTTTGAGATCCGGTTCGATGCACCGACCGAGGTCACAGATACGTATACGAAGAGCGTTGTACGGCAGTGTCAGTGCATGAAGTGTGGTACGAAACGAGACGTACAGGTCGTAATATCAGTGGACCCGAATCCAAATGCTGGAGCGAGTGCAGGCACATCGTCTACCAGTCGACAGCGGGACACAGCGCCACCCAATTCCAGAACCGCACATAGATACAGCCCAGGCTACCAAATGCCAACCCAGAACGACCCAGCACCTCCCCGCCAACCTCCTCGACCACAGGCACAACCACCCCAGGAACCCTCCCCATCTCAACGCCCATCAACACCCGATCTGAAGAAGCAATGCCCACGCTGCACCTTCCTCAACGACCCCGCCTTGACGGCCTGCGAAATGTGCGAAGCCTCTTTACCTGAAGCCACAATCGCGAAGCCGCCCAGTCCAGTGTCCAACAGAAAGGCTCCTTCGCACTCACACTCCGCATCGCATCCACCACCCAACAAGCCTCGAAGCAGGGAAGAAGCACTGCGACAAGAACAAAGACCCGGCGCGCCGAATAGACACAGTCTGAGTCAAAGCCTCTTCTCCATCTTCCCATTCTCCCAGCAACAGCAGCAAGAGCATCATGCTAAGCTGCCGCCTACACAGCAGGTTGATACCTCAGCGGCTGTGAAAACAGCTCATGCGTCGAGGCAGGAGATGAGGAAGCAAGAAGACACCCGGCCTTCTTCGAAAGAAAGCAACAAACCACACATCTCTCATTCTCCACACCCACCTCCCCACACCGAACCGTCCTCTTCCCGCCACGTTGCAACCACACCTCCAAACCGCCCTTCCACACCACCACTATCCAACCACCCAGAAATGGCAATGATGCCCCTCTCCCCCTCCCCACCCTCATCTTCGCATCCACGACCCGCACCCGCCGGTCTCCCGAGTAACCTCATGGACGACTTCGTCCCTGTGTCGCCTGCGTTTCCTCAAGACGACGAGGATGAAGATGCGGGGTGGGGGTCTATGAGCAGGGAAGAGGCAAGGGGCCAGGAAAGTAGTAGTGAGGAAGAGGATGACGATGAGGGAGGAAGTGGCAGGGGGAAGGGGATGATTGATCTAGATGCTGTGGCGAGGGAGGAGGCTGATGTTTGGGGGGATAGGGAGGATTGATTGGATATACGGAGGGGGTTGATGGAGATGTTGGTGTTGGATTTGGATCTAGAGAGATGTCTGCCTAGTTCACTGTTTAGTTATTCATGTCTGGCGTTCAGAGTTACACATCCGATAATGCTAAGAATGAAATTACGAGGTTGAATTGAAGGACTCTTAGTTGCGTTTGTCTATACTCCCAAACACCCATTCCCAAGCCCACGTCTTCAGCGCAATAGAAATGTACGGCCAACTCCACGCTTCATGGTCTTTCATCTGCCCGCTCCATGCAATGCACCAAGCGCCCACACCTGTTGTTCGACATCTGCGACAAGCTTTGCACATGGAAATCAGTCCTGCTCTCCACACATCGGAGGAGTATGTTCAGTACACGGCCGAACGCCCATCGTAGTCTGCCCTAACGTCATCCACAAAGTCATCCTACGAGTTGAGGTAGTTCCGGACGGCGCCTTGCAGTTTCGTCGCACCCTCGCCGAGCATGTTCGTCAGATTCTCGAGATCGTCGCCAGCGGTAAGACCGAACTTGCGGACAAAGTCCTTGGCGGCGGTTTCGAGGTCGCCGTAGTCTTCGTCGCCGACTTCGTCTTCGGGTCGGCCAAAGTATGCGTTGGAGGAAATAGCGCTCGCGCCTTCGAAGCCTACATGGCGAGTTAGTAACCGAAACGTGCATGGTTTTATAGATATCACGTACCTGACAACCTCTCCTTGGCCTGCGCGGTGGCAGTAGGATCGAATGCGTTGCGTCCAAAGAACTCGTCACTGGAGATGCCCTTTTGTGTGCCAAACTTGTCTCGCGCGTACTTCTCGCCGTCATCCTGCGCAGGCTTGCCTACACTGCCAAAGCCACCCATCTTCTTCTGCGGTGCAGCCTTCTTCGCTGCACCCACTTGTCCAAAGCCCAGACGTTGTACGCCCATGCCTAACCTTTCCATATCTTGGCTGGAGCGCTCGGTCTTGGAGGTGGAGCCGAAACCACCTCGCGGCGGCGATACGGGAGTCGGTGAGACAATGGCGGATGCTTCGGGGGCTTTCGACTTGGTGGCCGCTGCGGCCTCAGCGGCTTCGGCTTCGGGATCGTAGCCCAACTTCTCGATGCGCTCAGCCTCTTCACGGGCCTTCCGCTCTGCTTCCTCAAAGTCTAGGCCTCCATCTGCGGCAACCACTTTCTTCGCTCCGAGACCCTTCTTCTTGGCTCCCAGAATGTTCTTCTTCGGCGCAGCGCCTGCGGTCGTCTTTCGTACGGCAGCGGGCTTTGCAGCGGGTGTGCTCGATTCACCACCAACTAGTGGCGACTTGGGGCGGTCTGTTCCATTGCCGTTGGCGCCAGGCTTCAGGAAGGGTGATCCTCCAATCTTGGGCGTACCGGTACGCGAGGGTGGGTTCGACGGGCGCTTGATGGCGGGCTTGTCCCATGAGGAGAAGAAGTCGTCTTCGTCATTGGCTGGCGTGTTGGTGCCGTCAGTGCCAACTTCGGGCACATCTGTGATTACGACCTCGTTGGGGTACCTGCATAAAATGATTAGCCCAGTTTACGGGGTAGAACTATTTCTTCTTACATCCTGGCGTCCGCGGCGCAGCGTCTGGTGAGCTCCTCCTTGTACTTGGTGGCGGCATTGCTGGTGTATTTGGCTTTATGATCTTTACTCGCAAGCGCAGCGGAGCCTCCGTGCGACTGGAAGTACTTGGTAGCGCTTTCATTACCGCCCACTTTCATGATTCGCAATTGATCCCATTGCCAGACTACCCTCAATCAGTATGTGTGTTGTATAGCCATGAGACTCGGAGTGAACGTACTGTCGAGGTTGGTGGACCGTACGAAGGAGATGTGGACACCCATGTTACGATGGTTGGACGAGCAGTCGAGGCACAGGTAGATGCCAAATGGTACGGAACTCCATGTTGGGTTCTTTGCGCCGCAGTCGAAGCATATCTAGGGATGTGTTAGGCATTGACCGAGTATCTGTCTACTGGTAAGACGTACCTTGTTCGCGGGCTTCGACTTCAATTTGGTAAAGATGTTCTGCGACTCGGTCTTGGTGGCGAGGGCAGCCATGGTGGGAGTGGGTAGGAATGGCGCGGGTTGGCGGTAAAGGAGTCGAGCTGTGGTGGGGATAATTTGGGTTGCGGCGCTCGGGAATGCTAGGGTGTCGTTTCCAGGAAGCCGCGTTCTTGACACGTGATACGCGCGATTGCAGGTGCAGGTGGTACCTCGATGTCGCAACTTCAATTTCTACTTTCGCTTTCACCAAACGACTCTCGATTAATATTTTGCGCTCAATTCTGTCTTGCTTATATAGGTTTTCGTCTAAACCACATTCGTGGTTAAGAGACGCCCCCGAGGTCAGAACCATGGTTGCGACTCGGTGCTACGCGCTCACTTCACGCGCCTGAACTCGATCGCTACACTGTAGACACGACCCAGAGCTGTCGTTGGCGACTACAAAGACTTCACCATTCTTGCGCTAGTCTATGCTCGAAGGATGACATAGGCTTCGGACGCCGTCTTCCTATCTCCCTATCTTCCCGTCCCACGACCTGACGCGACAGCACAAGTGGGGTATGCATATACAAATGATGGCATACCTCACCTGCCCCCAAGTAGCAGCTTGGGTCTATTACATACTCACATATCAACTTTCATAGACTACAGACTACAGCATCCCACAATTCGCCACCATGTCCACCCCCCAAACCATCCCCGCCCGCCGCGGAGCAGCCACCCTCGTCAAAGCCGGGCAGAAGATAAAGATAACAAACACGCACGGAAATCAAGTCGTCGATACCTGGGCTCTGGCACTCCCTTCCTCCACCCTCACCACCGCGTCTACAAAAGTCGAAGCACCGCTCTACCCAAACGCGACCGCCGACTCACCGTCCAAGTACTCTGCTACTGCGAACGCCGCTGCCAGCGCCCCCGAATACATGTCCATGTGCCACTGCCGAGCAACGCTTCTGAAAGTAACGCCTGCTGTAGGTGATATCATGGTCAGCCAGAAGAGGGCGCCGATGGTCAAGCTGGTGGAAGATACAAGTCCAGGTGTGCACGACACTTTGGTCGCGGCGTGTGATCGGTGGCGGTATAGTGAGCTGGGCGTGAATGGATACCATGAGTCTTGCACAGACAATTTCTGGGATGCTCTGCACGCGCTGAGTACATTTTCGTCTCTCGCCGCTGAGGAGAAGGAGGCGATTGAAGGCCTGCAAGCGAAGATCGGCTACAGAGTCCCGGATCCGTTCAATTTGTTCATGAACATTCCTATCACGCAGGAAGATGAGGGAGCGAAGAGAGGTATTAGTTTTGAAGAGCCGAAGACGAAGGCGGGAGACTACGTGGTTCTGGAGGCGCTTAGGGATGTGGTTGTAGTGATGAGTGCGTGTCCTCAGGATGTTCTTACGATCAATGGGAAGAATCCGGTAGACGCTCATTACCAGGTCTTGGACTAAAGCTTCAAGGTTGAGTGAGTCGGACGAACGATAGAGATACCAATAATGATGAATGAATTTGATATAGCATTACCTGAGTTCATCTCAGATACGAGAACAGCGAGTTCGGTCCGGCCGATTCCAAACTGACAAAGAACGTGAACAGCAAACACCCTGCTATGAGCCCCGCCCGCCATATCCCATACACCACGTGCCCTCTCCTGGTCTGGTCTCTCCTCTCTTCGTTCTCTCTGGATAACCGTCTCCCTACACCAGGCCACTTACCGACCACTAAAGCTGCAAGATACCATGCTGCCAGATGAATGAACAACGCAAGCGGTAAGGCAGCTAGGATCCAGATGACGAAGAGTCTACTGTGTAGGATGGAGGAGATGCCGAAGATGTCTGCTAAGCGTGTGAGAAAGAAAAGTGCGACGGTGCTGACCATGATGATCTGTGAGACCAGGAGGACCAGGTGATCGTGATACCAGTCGTACGGAGCGAAGTCCTCGTAGGGGTATGATGGAAGGCTAACGAGCCGATTGCTGTTTTGAAGATCGGAGACACCTGCGTCTATAGCGCTCGGATCATCCGTCTCTTCGACGACAGCAGTTCCACGCGGAGACAATACATCTTCGTTCACGCGGGACGCTTCTTGCGCCTTTGCGTCGTCGTCAAGGTACGCCTGTGCCATAGAGAGAAGTGGTAGTAGAAGCAGGATCAACGGTAAAGTCTGACCGAAACCCCACGAGTTCTCTTCAGAGACCTTTTGGTTGAGCGTGAAGTTGTAGCCGTCATAGTTCCATGATGCTGCAGCGCGTGTGTCCCAGACTTTGATGGTTCCCCATGCCATTGCAAATGCCAACCAGAGGATCTCCAGTAGCATTGACTCGAAGACATCGTAGGAGGCCCGGACGGTTACGAAGCCGGCATATGAGAGTAGGTATGGTAGGTGCCAGATGTAGGCCTGAATCGTAGGAGGTAATGTCTTCCTCTCCAGGAAGCTGAGGAACTGCTTGAACTTTGTTCCAGGCAAGGTCCGAAGGCATGTGCGAGACACGTCCCCACCTCGGTCAAGTAGCTGTATACCACACCGAACAAAAGACACACCAACGATAACCACAGAGAAGATCATAGACCAAATCTTGGGACCCCGTCGTAAGAATGACCGCATCCCAAGCTCTTTGTAGAAGCAAATAGCACTCAGACTAGGATAGAATCCCTCACCATCGTCAGGATACCCATTAAGCCACATCCTCGACCCCGTCGGAAGCAAAGCAGCAATCAACAAGGAAGCAAGTAGAACCATAAAGACCAGTCTGATAAGCCGCATACTTTTGTTAGTTTGGGAGCAGCCTTCGAGAAAGGCCGTCGCGGAGACGAAAGCGAAACTGGCGAACCACGAGATGAAGACCATCATCTGCCAGTGATACGCAGAGATACCGCATCTCAGTTGCGAGTAGCCGGCGATGAGGATTGCGGTGCCGGTCACTAGATTCAGGTCGCTGAGGATTAGGACAGACTTTTCGATAGCGTACTGGAAGCGTCGGCTGGGAGTCCATGAGAAGATGCGGGAACGTGTAAAGGTGAGGATTCTGTGGTCGACTGCATTGATGTGGGTGTTCGCTGTGCTCTTTGTTTGGTGGACGTGGTGGACGTTGTGGACAGTGATGTAGTGGATGATGAGCAGAAGTAATGTGAGATATGCTGAAATCGAGAAACCGAGAATGACCTGTTGTGTACCGGAGTTAGGCGGAGTGATACACATTGAGTCCTGATACTCACACCGATGCCTGAGAGATCTGAATCTGGCAAGAGAGGTGGCACATTACTGAGGTTTGTCAAATTAGTTGAAGAGAGCCACGCGCAGCTCGGTAACTGGCAGCGGGTGACAGCCTCTTTCACCGTGGTGTTCATCATGAATTCATCTAAACATGATCGAGATGGTGGAATAAGAAAGAGAAGCTGGACACTCCGACGCGAAAGGCATCGCTCGCGCCATCAGCCGCTCCAGATGTTACTGCCATGGGAACTGGCCGGCGGTCAATACTAGTCGCGCCGAGGTATACATGTATTCATAGTTGTCAGTTGTTCCCAGATTAGTGCAGGTCTGTTAGATACATAGGATCGCCGAGTTCTGCAGATCGAATCCATTGCGTAGTCTTGAGTAACATATCCGGAAGTTGAGCCATGGTGTTATCAGGCGCGTGATGGATGGGTGCAACTGCCCGGACAAACGACGCTAGCATTGGATGCGGGACTAGCGCGGCGGCGAGGCGAACTATTTTCCCCACCGGTATCGATAGCGTCGTGAACTTTTTTGCCCTGAAGTCTCTCCAACGCGCAGACGGCTCTACTCGACATCAACATACCGCAGCCGCCAGAATGAAGACCCAGTGGAAGGATATCCCCGCTGTGCCTACGAGCCAGGAGTTTCTGGACATCGTGCTTTCCAGGACCCAGAGGAGGTAGGTGCCTTCCTCGACACAATTGCGCAAAGCGCCTTCCCTCTACCACCCGGCGCTTTGCGACTTCGCAGGCGCAATGCATATCGCATAGAGGATGACAAAGCTGACTGCAACCCAGATTGCCGACACAGATTCGTGCTGGATTCAAGATCAGCAGAATTCGAGCCTTCTACACGCGAAAAGTCAAGTACACCTCCGAAACCTTTACCGAGCGCCTCTCCACTACCATCGAGGCTTTCCCGCGCCTCGCCGACATCCACCCGTTCCACCGCGATCTGCTCAACACCCTATACGATGCGGATCACTTCAGAATTGCGCTTGGTCAGCTTTCGACTGCAAAGTCGCTGATTGAGACGGTTGCGCGCGACTATGTCCGTCTTCTCAAGTACGGACAGTCTCTCTTCCAGTGCAAGCAGCTGAAGAGGGCCGCGCTGGGTCGTATGGCCACCATTTGCAAGAGGTTAAAGGACCCTCTCGTCTACCTTGAGCAGGTTAGGCAGCATTTGGGTCGTCTTCCGTCCATCGACCCCAACACCCGCACACTCGTCATCTCCGGCTTCCCCAACGTCGGCAAGTCTTCATTCTTGAAGTCAATCTCAAGGGCCGATGTCGAGGTACAGCCCTACGCTTTCACCACCAAGAGTCTGTATGTCGGACATTTCGACTACAAGATGCTCCGGTTCCAGGCCGTTGACACTCCCGGTATCTTGGACCACGCACTCGAGGACATGAACACCATCGAGCATCAATCTATCTGCGCCATTGCCCATCTCCGCGCCCACATTCTCTACTTCATGGATCTCAGCGAGCAGTGCGGTTACTCCGTTGCCTCGCAAATCGCTCTTTTCAACAACATCAAGCCTCTATTCGCCAACAAGCTCATCTCCATCGTCATCAACAAGATCGATCTTATGCGCCCGAATCAGCTCGACCCCGAGACCCAGGAACAGCTACAGGGTATGCTCAAGTCTGGCGAGGTTGAGATGCTCGAGCTCTCTTGCAACACAACTGAGGGTGTTATGGCCGTGCGAAACTCTGTCTGCGATCGCTTGATCGCTGCCCGTAACGCTGAGAAGCTCAAGGCCGGTACCAACAGCGCCGGCGAGCCTTCTGGCCGTCTCGGTGAGCTGCTTCGCCGTATTCACGTTGCCCAGCCGTTGGGCGGCGTTACTCGCGAGACTTCCATCCCAGAGGCGGTGCTCAACAAGAAGAAGTACGACAAGGAAGACCCGGACAGGCCGCTCCTTGAGCGTGATTTGGAAGAGGCAGACGGTGGAGCTGGTGTGTACAACATCGATCTCCGCAAGAACTACATGCTTGAGAACGACGAGTGGAAACACGACCGCATTCCTGAGGTCTTCAAGGGCCAGAACGTCTACGACTTCATTGACCCTGAAATCGAGGCCAAGCTTGCCGCGCTCGAAGCTGAGGAGGAGAAGCTGGAGGGTGAGGGCTTCTACGATTCCGACGACGACCTTGAAGACGCAGAGGAAGCGGACATCAGGTACAAGGCAGAGCTCATCCGTGAGAAGAGGCAACTCATCCGGAACGAGGCCAAGATGCGCAAGAGTCTCAAGAACAGGGCCGTCATTCCCAGGACCAAGAAGGCCATGCAAATGTCAAAGATGGAGACACATCTGGAGAGTCTCGGCTACGATCCCTCAGCGGCTGTCGAGCGTACGACTGCAAAGGCAGAGGCGCGAGGCCGCAGCTTGGCTCGTGGAAGATCCGAGGCTCCTGGTGGCGATGCTATGGAGGTCGATACGCCTGGTGCTGCTATGCTTGCGCGTGCTAAGAGCCGAGGCCGCAGCCAGAGCACCAACAGGAGGAATGATGGTGTTACGAATGAGGTTGCCGCTTCCAAGGCTGAGAGGCTGCAGAAGTTGTCGCAGCAGAAGATGAACAGGATGGCCAGACAGGGTGAGGCCGATAGGCACCAGACTGGTTCTTTGATTAAGCATTTGGTAAGTTTACTTCGAATACGTTTTACTCTCGGCGCAGTTGCTAACAGTTATCCAGACTGCTGGAAAGCGTGGTATCGGAAAGACCAGCCACAGATAAGCGCGGAGTCTTATGCGTTCTTGCATTGCGTGTTTGCAGGTGGGAAAAATCATGGTTGGCGTTTGGGATGCATTAGATACCATCTCGCTGTTGATGAAAGCAGCGTGGTAATGCAATACTTCTTTCCATCACCATCCTATCTCGAGCGAAGTGATCGCGCAATATTTCGTTGAAGTTGGTGACGCCCAGCAGACTTCTACGCTTGACACACATCATGGATGAAGCTATTGCCCGGCCTAACACCAACGATCTGCAGACCTAAGGCATCGGACACAGACTACACAGCAAAATCACGGCACAAGCCTGCCGCACCCTTGTGGTGGTGAGATCCCGCATGGCGGAAATAGCACGACCCAGCGCTCAGCCTTGTTACGCCCTGCCAAGGCTTTTTACTTATCGATCCTTCAGAGCGTGCCACAAAATCCTTCAGCCCCGTCTCGCGTGCGGGCGCGTAGAGTTCTCACTTTCCAACCTCCTCTTTTCATCTCCTAAATCCCATTCGTTGGGGTTTGCGCTATCGGTGTTAGTGCATGCCAAGGAATCCAAGCGTTTCGGTTGAGTTGTTCCGCAGCAACTGAATCCTTGCCCTTGCGCTATGCCATTCCACTGCGCGATTGTCTTATGGCGTTTTATCGGAACACAAGTAGTCGCCTATTCACAGATGGCTCCTGCCGTCTGCTCCCACGGACGGTACAGTTCCCAAAAGCCAGAGCTTTCTGCTCAAAACCGACTCATTCTCCGGCTTACTACTCAACGGACGAACTCGCTAAGCTATTTGAATACACATCAGGGCGATGGATGTTTGTCAAACCCTTCTACCAATACCATCGCTCATGTTGACCATGAACTGAAGTTGGAACGACGCCTCGAAGCACTCTGAACGAAGACGCGTCTTCGATGTATCGGAGTTCAAGCGCCTCGCAGCCGCAGCTGTCGATCAGAACGTAGAAGACGTGACTTCCTTCGAAAAGCTAGCTGAAGGGGGATTTAATCGAACCTTCCTGATCACGATGCGTGATGGCTTCCAGTTTGTTGGACGTATCCCTTATCCGGTCACAGAGCCGAAGCACCTTGTCGTAGCCAGCGAAGTCGCAACGATGGATTTTCTCCGTTTACACGATATACCTGTCCCCAAGGTCTACAGCTACTCAGCTACATCGGAGAACGCAGCTGGCACCGAATTCATTTTCATGGAGTTTATCCGGGGCATGCGTTTAGGTGACATCTGGTTTGACCTGTGTGAAAAGGCTAGGATCGCCGTCGTCACTAAACTCGTGGAGCTGGAGTCTAAACTGTTTGCTCTTGAGTTCCTGGCAAGTGGTAGCCTGTATTACACCAAGGACTTGCCAGCTGGATTCGATGAATTCGAGGGTCCTATCGCCAGATCTGCCCGCGATGGCGACTTTTGCGTTGGTCCTGACACAAGGCTCCGCATGTGGTATGGGAAACGGAGCGATATCCAGATCCATCGCGGACCATGTACGTGCTAGCTCTTCCATTTATACAGCCAGATCCACGTTTTGGTTGATCATCTGCTGTAAGCCATCTCAACTAATTATTCCAAAGATACAAATCCAACATCGGCACTTGTAGCTGGGGCCAAGAAAGAAATCGCATATTTGACCAAGTTTGGCCGACCGCTTCACCCCTTCCAACGTCTGCATCGAGAGATCTACAACTATCAAAAGCAATCGCCCTTGGATCGTCTTGCCAGCCTGGAGAAATACCTGCAAATTGCGCCTTATCTCACTCCGCATGACAACGAAACTCTTACCCGGCCGACGCTACGACATCCCGATCTCCAACCAAACAATATAATTGTCTCGGATAATCTTGAAATCACTAGTCTAATCGACTGGCAACACTGCGCAATACTCCCGCTCTTCCTGCAGTGCGGTATCCCAAATAGCCTCCAGAATTACGGTGACGCCGTCTCAGAATCGCTTGAAGTGCCCGAACTACCACCCAATTTTGACGACTTAAGCGAGAGGGAACGATTCGATCAGGCCGTGCTCCTACGCCGGCGTCAACTCCACTACTACTATATTGCAAAGACTGCACAACTAAACTCGATTCATTACGACGCCCTAGCCCACGACTTCAGCATAATAAGAAGAAAACTCTTTGATCACGCGAGTGAGCCCTGGGAAGGCGATAACGTAACAATGAAAGTTGACCTCATCTATCTAACGGAGAACTGGTCGAGTATCATCGCCCCACAATCGAGCGCGAGAGATGATTCGAAGATTCCTTGCCCAATCTCTTTCACAGAAGACGAGGTGATCGAGTGCAAGCGTCTTCATGCAGCGCAGATCGAAGCATACGAGCAGCTCCAGGCCTGTAGGGATGCTGTTGGCATCGGCCCGGAGGGATGGGTACCCTTAGGGCAGTACGAAGAGACTAAACAACGTGAACGAAAGCTCAAGGCCGCCGCGCTTGAGGCATCTGAGTCGAACGAAGAACGAGCGAGGCTCGAAGAGCATTGGATCTTTGGTGATTTTGATGAAGAGGAGTATTCGTGAACAATCAACACTGCTGGAAGTTTTGCTTCATTCCGATCGACGTCTAATGGCGCCACCTAGGTAGGTAACGACGCGTTGTCACAGCGCTAAGCACGCCTGCGCCAATGGTGCACATCTATGCGCCGTACTGTTGTGTACACGCGTCGTAGCAAAGTCGTTGCGACCTCGAAGGTCCGCTAAGTTACATGGTACTGATGATCTCTTAGCTACGCTATCTGAGAGAAATTTTCTGTAGTGTAGATGAGTTCTTGTAGAGCTTACACAACTCTACGCGACCTCACGATCGTTGTATGTGATCGCTTGTGGTCAAGGCCGGTGGTTTCTTGTCAAGTCTTTTCTTCCAAAGGCGCGCAGGGGCGCTACGTTACTGGCATAGAAGTGCCATTGCGTCGTATGCACGCATCAGGATCAGACCACAGTCTGAGTCAAAGGTACAGTATATTGTTTCGTAGGCACGACTCCATTGGGTCTTCGGTCGGTGCTTTCAAAGTCCGAACCTGGCTGAACATTCGACTTGCATACTTCGTATACGCTGTACGTAAAATTTCAGCCGCATTGGTGGAGAGTACCAGCAATAGAGCATCATGAAACATTTGGTCCGAAATATGGGGTATCTGGCAAGGGTCAAATCTCCTATGTATGTACGAACTGCGTGCGAGGCATACACTAACTTCGTACATCGACCTTTTAGATCAAGTTTGCCGCATCGGAAGAAGGCTAAGAACGACGTTATCCGGGTGCGTCTCTCGGCTGTTCTTTGCTTCCGCAATGTCATGCATCCCGCTAGATCAAACAAGAAGTACCGCCGGCACTTCGTGTCTAGTGCATACTTGCACCTGACCTCAGTATGGTCGGCATATTTCGCATCGATATTGTGGCTGTATCAATCGAAATATTATATAGGGCCCTGATGTAGCCTCCAATGCCACCTGGGCATCAGCAAAGCCATTCCTTCCACTTCTTCATTCTTCAGAATGAGACTCCCTTTCACCCATCTCATAGCTTTCCTCCTTGGAGCCAGCCGCGCACAAGAGTCATGCAACTCCGCTTGCCAGACGGCATTCAAAGGAGCCCTCCTCCGCGAGTCCTCAGGGTGGGTGTCGAAGAACGTAACGCTAGACGAATTCTACACCACCCCATCCAACACCACTGGAGCAAAGCCAGGCGCCCTACTGCGATGGCAACCAGTCTCACGCAACGACAGCAACACAAAATACTCAGCACCAACCGGCATGTCTCTTGCGCGTTTCATGTACGTGACCGAAGACATTGAACGAAACCCCATTCCGGCTACTGGATTTGTGTTGTTGCCGTACAGCAAGCCAAACCGGGACGAGCCACTGAATACGATTGTCTGGACCCACGGCACAGCTGGTAGAATTCGCAACTGTGCACCGTCCAACAACAAAGACTTACACTATGAATGGAGAGGCCCGTATGCTCTTGCTCTTGCTGGGTATGCTGTCATTGCGCCCGACTATTCGGGTCAAGGTTCAGATATCCCTCAAGGTTTCATGTACGAGGCGGGCTTCTTGCACGCAGCTGATGCCGTATACGGGTTGATTGCTGCCCGCAAGGCTCTCGGCGGCTTACTCTCTGAGGAGTATGTAGTTGTCGGCCACAGTGAAGGTGGCATGACAGCTTGGAGAACCAACGAGCGTCTTGCGATGCCCGCTCAAGAAGAGCTGCTGAAGGCAGGAAAGTTCCTAGGCTCTGTCGCCGCTGCTCCCGCGCTCCGTCCTCTTGACCTCTTCCCTGAGTCCATCCGACGAGCCAATGGAGGGCCATTCGGCGGTGCCAACGCCATCTTACTTCTGCAATCGCTCGCACTGCTCTTTCCCAACACCTTCCATCTCGAAGATTACCTCACAGATGCCGCTCTCGATCTTCTTCCACTCCTGGATCAAGGCTGCATCCTTGTTGCAAACGCATTATACGGCAACTTCACCAGCGCACAGATGTTCAAAAAGGTTACTTGGTACGAGCATCCAGATGTTGTCGATTGGCAGAAACGCTACAATGGCGCTGGCCCTCACGCTCTCGCTGCACCTATGCTTGTTGTTCAGGGCATCGCCGACGATTTAGTGTACGCAGTCAACACCAAGAGTGACTTCAACCGTACTTGCGGCGCTTTCCCGGAGTCTCGTGTTTCGCTACTTTTGTACCCGGAGGTCGATCACTTGGGTGCCTCGATGGTCACAGTCCATGATTATCTTGCTTGGATTAAGGATCGTTTCGACGGTGTGGAGGCGCAGGAAGGTTGTCATACTCACATTTTGGAGACGATTACGAATACGTTCAGAACTACGGTATCGTACTACAGTGGAAGTTAGTTTGACAATTGTTCCGCAAAGTCTAGTGCCTCATTCTCGTTGTATTACTTTGTTAGAGAGTAGAAGCTCTAGTACTTCTACAGACAATCTAGTACTACAAACCTTTATTATGCAAAAATCGGGGATTTGAAGCTGTGCACATGTGACGCCAAAAAGGCTAGTCCTATAAAAGCAACGGTCCTTTGCTAGTACACAAAGAGCACATTCTCAAAGGGTTCAGCAGGTGGGCAGAAAACATACAAGACCTGGGAACTTCCTGGAATCTCCCATGTAAGCACTGCGTATGAGACATGACGACTTCGTACATCAACATTTGTGCGCAGTTGTTGTTCTCTGCAAGGCGCAGCGCGCCTTCTCTAGCTCGTCGACGAGGCCATCCGCCATTGGTGCGTTCATAAGCCAAAGAGGATCCTACCACAATCCCTGCAAACGCCCTGCATCCCGTTGCTCATCGTCACGCGCCTAACAATGCGTTGACCAAGCACAACGCCGTCATTCTCGTCGACACCACTCATAATCCTGGCGAATCCCAACCACCCGATAATTCGAGATGCCCGCGGACGCTGCGCCCTCAAGCCATGTCGTAGGATTCAACGGATTCCCACCTCTAACATGAGGTGCATCGTCTTACAGGAAGACTTTCTGGCCCCCATCATGATGCCATGTATTGGAGGCCTTAGTTGCAATTTCAATAACCGCTGTACTTCGCCCCATGGCTTACTATTGGCAACGTGCCTGATCGGTACAGCTTGGTTTAACCTTGTATTAACCTTGTATCGTACACTCACGATCCCCGGATCCCACGTTGTCGCGTTTCCTACTGTTGTACAAGCACGGGTCTTCGACTATGGGGTATACTAATATGCTGGACGTGAGGATGTGGAGTTCGTTAGCTCTGATGCTAGCGACTACGACGTTTGGTTCGCCTACAAGTATGTTTGCAAGTGTGGAGATGATGGTAGTATACAAGACGCTTACTGATACAAGAGCAGGTCTAGCAGAATATGTACCAAATCGCGCCCTCGAAGCACGACAATATAGTCCTGCGCGATGCGGCTTCCCATTTACGACACTGAACGGCGCCAACTACACCACATACTGTGATCAAAACATACGCAATAATGGTGAGCAGCAGATCACGCGATATCCTCCAAGAGGGATCAGAGTTAATAGACATCAGACGCGCCAACCGAAGCCATTCAACTAGACAGCTTCGCAGAATGCATAGAACACTGCTCACGGTTCTGGGGCCCCGGCGAAGGATGTTTCGGCGTCCTCTGGGTGGATCCCGACAACATCTGCTACATGAAGAACAGCAGCGCGACCGTCGATCTCCTCGAACCAAACCCCCACCGCTACACCGCCCTCATCGAGAGGAGCGAAATGGAAGGCTTCGACGAAACATGTCCGCATGAAGATCTTTCCACCAACACCCTCCCCGGCGTCCACGGCATGCAATACACCACGCACTGCGGGCAGATGATCAAGGCAAACGTAGCTGACTTTGACGGGTATCCACATCTCGAGGGCAACTATCAATGGTTCTACCACGTCGAATCCCTCGATGAATGCATGCAGATATGCGTCGATCAGCAACCGCTCTGCACAGCCGTATCCTGGAATCCGACTATGGTAATCGGTTTCGCCAACTGCATTCTCAAGACGGGCGACGACTCTGGTTACACGGATAGCCTGGACGTAGGCGCGGGAGTCATCCTCTTTCACTCGGCAGTCATGACGCAGATCGACCAGATCGATACGAAATGTCCAGATCGGGAATCGTATACGGCGGCGGCGGGCACGGAGGATGCCAAGGGCTTTGAGGTGCACTGTGGGAGGTTGAATCCGGGGACTAATATTACGAGTTTGCATATGCAGAATATTACGGCGTGTATGGATGCTTGCGCGGAGGAGAACGTAGGATGCAAAGCTATTCTCTTCGACTCGACATTGAAAGGCGGGTTCAACAACTGCTATCTGCAGAACACTACGACTGTGATTAGCGAGCAGCCAGGCGCTACATACGCCGTCCTCCTCGATGCGGAGATCCCCTCTTCGTCGCCCTCCTCATCATCTGGAGCCAACAAAAACAGCAACGACGACTCCTCCCCCAGCAAAGCATGGATAGCAGGACCGGTAATCGGCGGTCTAGTCGCTCTCGCACTAATCGGCTTTGCGGCCTTCTGGTGGCGCAAGAGGAAGGCGACGAAGCTTGCTAACGGAGAGAAGAGCCCGTATAATAGAGAGAGCATGTATGGTGCTGTGCCGCCGCAGTATGTGGATGCACAGCATGTGGATGCGCAGTACGTGGATGCGCCGGATTCGGATACTGTAAGGAGTGAGTTGCCGGGTAGTGTGAAGTATGCGCATAATCATGGGCCGAGGAGTGAGCCGCAGGAGATGCCTTCGTAGGGGAGGTGGGTGTGGCGGGAGTGGATGGGGGGTTTGGAAATGAGGGAGATTGACTGATTGTTATGTTCCTTTCCACATCTTCATACATATAACGTATTTACGTTGGGTTTGTAGCGTTCATAGCGTCTCTGCATGTTAGAATGTGTATGACAAGCGTGCAAACGTACAGTATCAATGCCAAAGCATGTGTTGGAGACATGCTCCCACATTCATCATACATCGTATATATCCTACACACTCATCTTCATCGCAATACTCGCATGCGGTTTGTACCCCAGTACCTCAAACTCCTCCGCCTTCCACCCATCTATACTTCCCCCAATCTTCCTGTTTATCTTCAGTTCCGGGAAGTCGCGCGGCTCCCTCTCCAATTGCACCTTCAGCGCCTCCACATGATCCAGATAAACATGCGCATCCCCCATTGTATGCGTAAAAGTACCCGGCGTGAGATCGCATACATGCGCCAGCATATGCGTAAGCAGCGCATAACTCGCGATATTAAACGGAACCCCTAAGCCCATATCGCAAGACCGCTGGTACAGCAAACTATGCAACACGCCTCTCGGTCTTTCCTCCCCCTGCTTATGCCCCGGAAAACTAACATAAAACTGCGCAAACATATGACAAGGCGGCAGCGCCATCTTCTTAATATCCGCCGGATTCCACGCACTCAGAATAATCCGTCTGTCATACGGTTTATTCTTGAGTTTGTCGATGATCTCAGCGAGCTGGTCGACACCTTGGCCTGTGTAGTCTTCCGCATGGCCCTTGTATTCAGCGCCGAAATGCCGCCATTGGAAACCATAGACGGGGCCGAGTTCGCCTTCTTCGTAGTGGGAGAGACCGACGCTGTCGAGGTAAGTGCGGCTGCCGTTTCCGTCCCAGATCTTGATTCCCGCTTCTGAGAGGGATTTGCTGTGTGTACTGCCTGCGACGAACCAGAGGAGTTCGCCTATTACGGCGCGCAGGAAGACGCGTTTTGTGGTGAGGAGGGGGAGGATGGGCGTGGGTGGTTTTGTTGGGTCGGGGGATGGGCGCGAGAGGGCGAATTTCATTTGGGGTGGGAAGGGCACGGCGAGGGTGCCTGTGCCGGTTCGGTCGGGGCGGTGCTCGCCGTTTTGGATTATGTCGCGAATCAGGGAGAGGTATTGGTGTTCTTCATGGGTGGGGTTGCTGGATGGCATGGCCGTGGTGGGTAGTGGGGTGGGATGAATGGAGGCTTCTTTGGCGGTTTCCTTGGCGGGTTCGGGGGTTATTACGGGTTCGAGAGCGGTGGGAGGCATGTTCGTGGCCTGGTGGGGAGTTTGGATGGGCGTAGTTGGGTGTCAAAGTCCAAGTCGCGAGCGCGTTGGGAAGGCACGAAGAGTGCCGTGAACCGCGACTGCGCGGGTGGCTCGTGTGGCGCGCCGTATCGAATGTCGCTGACCTAACTGCTTTCGCATCTGCCACAAAACACCCACACCGCAAGAACACGAATGAGAAGTGGGGAGTATGGAAGAAGAACAAGCAGCTCACCATCTGCTGAATGTGGTGGAAGAGCGAGGCCTCAAGGTTGATCTCGACAACATTCTTCTGGGTTTCGAGGATGCGGATACAAAGCACGAAGCTGCGGCGTGGGTCGACGAGTACCTCCACGAAGACACTTTACTCAGCAAAGAAGAGCTAGAGCTGTAAGTGCAGAATTTCGTTATTTCGGTATCTGCTAATTGATGTTCTAGGTACCAGACTTTGAAGAAGAAGGGTCTCTTGCACCAGTACGAAAGCGAGGGTGAACCCATCCGACCTATCTTGAACCACGAAATTGCTGCGGCTATTGAATCGCTGAAGAGTTCTACTACTGCGATTGAAGAGCAATGCCGAGTTTTGGAGACTCAGAAAGATGCATTGATGAAGCTTAAAGCTCTCGATAAGCCTAACTTGGATGTTGAGCATGCAAGGAACGAGCGAAGAAGGAAGAAGGGTCAGGAAAAGACTCGACTAGACGTCTCTGTAAGTTTCAAATCACCACAGATGGTTCTCCGCTAACTTGAGTAGGTCGACGATGTCGTTGCATCAGTCACGGAACAGATGACCGACGCCCAACGAGAAATTGATTCTGAAAGGTCAACACTCAAAGGTTACCTGTCAGAGCGCCTTGCATCAGACGACCAAATTCTGAGCCGACTCCCTAAGTTGGTGTCACAGATTGTTACCGAGCCTGAAGTCAGCGAGGACGAGAAGTCGATGGAGCAGTGGTGCAAGGCTATTATCTCTTTCCGCGCGGCGGAGATCAAAGCTCGCGTCGACACTGTGTTTCTCACCAACGCATCGGGCCTTTCCCAGAACGGCGTTGCAGAAACAGAAGAAGACCTCAAAGAGAGAAAGGTCGCCCTGCAGGCTGAGCTGGAAGAGCTTCACTCCGAGATCGCTTCTGTTGCTGAAATGGTTGTCGAGCATGAGATACGCAAGCCGATGATTGAGATGAAGGAGCGCAAGGACAGGGACAGAACACAGGCACGAACGGCTTGGCTAAACTATGTGAGTACCTCCCATATGTCATCAGACTGTTGCTAACATATCAGGTGCTCTCAACGCTCGAGTACATGGGCAAACGTCTCAACATAGTCACTACTGGTACAAAGGACACTGACGAGTTCCAACAAGCACTCGCGCACGTCCAAGCAGCAGCAGCGAAGCGTATACCGGAGACACACCCACCGGTTGGAACACCCGTCTTGAAACGTATGAGGTCTGACACGTCGGCCTTTACACCCATGGTGAAGCTCAAGCCTACATCATCGCTCGACCTCCCGGTCACACTGCAAGACGCGCTTCGTTATGCGGGCATATCATTCAGTCACGACAACATTGAAAGCCTGCAGGATACTCTGCAACAAGCCCAGGTTGAGCGAAGCAAGAAGCTGCAGAGCCACTACGAGTCCACCGCGACGTCGGCTCATGATGCAATTGCCGAACGAACAAGCAAAGCCGATACCGACCTGAGGGCGATCTTGAGTGCGCTATATAAGCACGCACCATTCCACCAGGCTAGCTTGACAGATCCGGAACTGGACGAGCAGTTGAAGGCGATGGAGCTGGAGCTGGAGAACAAGGACCGTGAGCTGCTGGATGCAGAGGGCAGTGAATTGAGTTTGAGCGATCCCAAAGTTCGCGCGTTCATTGCGAAATACGGTAAATAAAGCAAGGTTTTGAGTGTCAAGTTTCAGGCAGGTCGGTGCGTTGTCGAGTGGAGCTGACATGGCGAGCTGGGATGATCCAGGCGCGTATCAGGACGGAGTAAACAAGACGTGGAGATGTTGTTTACCGCAGACAAATGGCAGTTTTTGGGCGAGGCCAGCGTGTGTCCTCACCGCTCAGGATCTCCGCGATGAACACGATCAGCTTGTCGGTTGCAAGCGATGGAAGCCACATGTTCGTGGGTGGAGCTCTGGGGGAGTTCAGACCTCGGGTTGGTCGCGAGGAGTGACGAGCTGCAGGCTAGAGCGCCTCCATGTGGCTAGCACCCAGCCCCCGAATAACACTAAACAGCTACGGCCCCTGTCAATGCTGCCCTGAGTAGCTGAGCGACAACAACTCTGCTCTCTTCACACCTCACCAAAGCGCCTATCCCCACTTTCCACGCCGGTTGAACCTGCGCGGGATGCTCGCGCCAGGTACAGGCAGAGACGCAGGCACCCTTTCACTCAATTGAACATCACCCTCACCAAGCCGGTAGCTCCCAGCAGCTGCCACCTCACCGCCCGTCATGGTTAAAGGAGAGATCCTCACGCTCGGTGCTGCCGCCGGTGCCCTTGGGGGTGCCTACAAGCTCGCCGAGTTCCTCACCAAGGCCAAGCGCGTCCGCGACGTTGGCCCATCCAACGCCGTCTACGTGCGCATCATTGGCCGCGTCCGGTCCGACCTCGATGAAGTGCGACGCCTGCTGTCCATCCGCGAGATCCACGACATCCTCGAGGCCAACCCGGAAAAGTCAAAGTGGGTCTACGGATGCATGCGCGACGTGCGCGGCGCCCTCGAGAACATCACGCCGCACACGGAACGCGTCGCCGGCGATGTCGAGGACGGCCGCCGCATCGGCATGCGGCACCGCGTCTACTGGCTGCTCAGCGAGAAGGAGAAGCTCGAGAACCGGGAGAAGGAGCTCGCCATCGCGCATTCCAGTCTCAGCGAGGTCATCGGCTACCTGACTGCTCTGGAGCCAGTCGAGGAGCCCAAGAAGCCCAAGGCGACCACCAAGGAGACGCACATCGACATCGACATCCATCAGGAACCTCCCCAGCCCCAGCCCCAGCCCCAGCCCACCCACACGACGCACATCGAGAGGGATGTCTGGGTCGAGCGTGATGGCGCGCCGCCGCGACACGTAGAGGAGCACCGCGACGTCTGGGTTGAGCGCGACCGTCAGCCCCCAGCTCACTACGAAGAGCGTCGCGACGTGTACATCGACGAACATCAGCGCGGACCCCAGCACTTCGACGACCGCGGCCCTGCTCCCCGTCACGACGTCCACTTCGAGCAACAAGGTCGTGACGGCCGCTACGAGACGCACTACGACGAGCGCTACCAGCAGGAAGACCACTACCGCTCTCAGTACCCCATCGAGACTCAAGGCACCTACAACCCGCGCTTCCCCGAGCCCCTCGGCCGCCGCCCTGAATCGTACGAGGACCGTCTCCCCGAGCGCGACTCCTGGATGCAGAGCAACGCGCGCGCCCAACGCCCAGGTCAGTACGGCCCTCGAGCCCCTGCGTACGCCGAATACGGCGCCCCGCAACCCATTGGTGCAGCGCACTATTCGCGTAGGTTCCAAGGAGACGCGGGCTTTGGCGACGAAGAAATACTAAATCCACAACCAGTGCCGTTGGACAGGAACTACGCCGACCGCGAGGTGAGTGGTTACAACACTGCTGGCTACCCGCCCCGCCCCTACGGTAGCAAGCTCTAGCTGTTAGCACAAGGCTAACTTGCTGGGCAGATGTGGATTGAACAAAAGGAGGACTACCGCTTCGATCAGTATGGAAACAGGCTGCCGGATAGGCTCTTCCAGCCGGCTGTCCCTAGGCCCTATCGCAGCCGCATGTAAACAACTTGCAATACCTCTTTTGATTACGATCTTAATCTCCTTGTTACCCTGTCATGAGCCCTTTTTGTCCTTTTGCTTTACGCAAGCATGTACACCCCCTGCGAAGCCCCGAGCCCGATCAATGTTTCTATGTAGCTGCCAATTCAAGTTGATACCTTTCCGACCGGTCGCTCTTTCCTCGTTCGCCTCACGTGGTTTATCGGCAGCGCAGTCGTCGTCGCTCCTTCCTGAAGACGCTATCAGCCCATTTTGCCCAAGGGCATTTGAAGATGCTATCATGGCTCCCCCTCGCTTCCGGCGTCGCACCCACGGTACTCACTGTACCGCTACCAGAAGACAACACCACAGACCCTGAGAGATTGAGGGATGGATAAATCCTGTCCTGCTCACCTTTCTTTCTCGTCCTTTCGACTTTCAGATAACTATTCCAGTCACCCACCACTAACAGAAAAAACGACACCAGACTACAAACCTGTCACCACCAACAACGCCATCATGGCGCGCACCCGCACAAACCCCCTCAAGGAAGCCCGTTCCTGCCTCACCCTCTTCACCCACTCCCGCTCCACCCGCTGGCCCTCTCGCACCGGCCTCGCAACCGACATCCTCCTCTTTCTCTCCATCCTCTTCGCGGTCGCGCAACTCGGCCTCTGTGTCGCTATGGCCCACCGTCTACTCGCCTCCCCCCAAAGCGAAGTCAAATGCTTGAATGTGGATGCCGGTAGCAACTTTGACTTCACCAAGTATGGGATATACGGGGATACGTATGGAGTTGTGTTGACTAACGTCGTGAAGACGTTGCCGGTGCTGTATGCGAATGTGGATCGCGAGAAGTTTTGGCATGGGATGGATGTTGGGATTAATAGTACGGACCCGGGGCTGATGGGGCCCGAGTATCTGAGTGGGAAGGAAAGGGGAGGGATTTTGTAAGTTTTGTCGTTCTATCGTACTATCCCATCTACGAAGATGTGCTAACCAACATCTTTGCAGCACGATCATAGCAATCCTGATCTTCAACCCGCTTCTCCTAGTCATCGATCTCCTCCTTCTCCTTCGGAGCCACTACCGCTCCGCGCGCATCTCCAACCGTGCTGGCATGCTCTGGTCTACCTGCCTCGCTGTCTACTTCGTGCTGGTTGCTTTGGGCACTGTTTGGATGAACACTTTCCCCAGTAGCAAGATCGATTACAGTTTGAGGCACACTGTGGCTCTCACTAGGGATTCGTGTTGGCAATACGATAAGACGATGTATACGTTGGACAGGTGGAGTAGATGGGCAAAGGGGATTGAACGGGGTTGTGAGGTTTTGGGCATGTTGGGAGCGGTTTGGTAAGTTTTACGATAACACATGGATGGTGATGTTGGGGAAATAAGCTAATCAGTAATAGCATGGCTATCTACTTCGGCTTTGCGCTCGCCGCGGCGTACATCAACAGAAAGACTGATGCGCAACAGTCTATGCGACTAGACGATCTCAGCGGCGCTTCTTCCCTTACCCCCGCGCAACAAAACCTTCGCGACTTTCCTTCGTCGAGTCTCGGTGCTCATGCTACGCCTGTTCCGTTGAACAACTTCGGACTCACGTTCATAGACGGTACTCCAGGCCAGCAGCCGAAGATCGCGACATCACGAGCGTCGCCCGAGGACCTAGAAGCGCATGCAAATCCGTTCACGGATCCGGCAAATCTGATTAGGGAAGGGGCAGACAGGGAGGTTGTGCCGCCAGAGCCGGCAAGACAATGGAGGTAGACGGGTGTGACAAAGGTGCCAGGAGGTGTACCGGCAGCATGGATCGGTATTTACCACTTTCCCGGTATTCGTCTATACCCGTCATGGACTCGGTATTCTGTAGCTGACACTCCTATGGCAGATCAAAATCTCGCTAGCTACTTAATTGACAATTCATAATACTGACTATATCTCACAGTCGACAATCCTCATGTCTTCGCTGACGACCAGGTCAACTAACATCCTATTTGCCCCAAAACGGACATGAAAGAGACTTGGACAATGATGGTGTCGTCCGATACTCGACAAAGGGCGCTGCTATCTACCTTGGTGTCTTTGTTCGTCGCCTCCTGTCCCCTTTTCAAGCATCTTCGGCTTTGTTCGAAGAACTCGAGGAAGATGCTACATATCAGGCATATACGTCCGCGGGATCTATGACACTCGTTGATTTCATCAAAAGGACACCACGAATACAGCATTTGCACAATGGCAGACACTCCAGAAGACACCGCCAACAGCCCGACAGAAGTTAATAATATTGAAGGCACACCAGCAGTCGAGCCTACTGGCAATGACGAAGGCACACAAACAGACACACCAAAGACTGACGATCAACTTATCGAGGATTGGCTAGGCACTAGTCTAGTCGAACTCAAGAATGAGCATGGCTACACTCGCGAGATCGGAGTCCGGGAATACTTGGACATCACAACTACAAGAGGCAATAATCTTGCCTGCTGGCTCGAAGCTGGCAGCCTCGATGTTGCCTTTGCTCTACTGACTAGGCGAGATTCGTCAAGAGATGTTTGCGCACTTCCAATCTACCAGAGCAACGATTTGTTCAATTTCGGTAACGGCGATTGCACCATGGAGGATTTGCTCAAAGACGGTACTATAGAGCCGACACTGAAAGATGGAAAGCGCTTTATTGTGGTACCTGTCAATGATGGCCTGCTAAGTAACAAGGAAATCGATAGGCAGGGAAAGGAGGCTAGAGAAGCTGAGGACGTTCCGACAGAAGATATTGAAGAAGTGGAAGAAAGCGAGGTAATAGAAGGGATAGAGGATGTTGTGCGAGCTGAAGACACGGTCGAAGACTTCCCCGATCTCGAGCGGGCATACGAGGTGGATGTAGCAATGATTGACACCCCACAAGAAGGCGACGACAACACACCAGAACCAGCCATCGAGAAGACAAAGGAAGGACCCAAAAAAGTTAGTAAAAAGTCAAAGGAGCCACCCTTGGAACCTCTCGCCGTAGGCTCTCACTGGGGTCTCTTAGTAGTGGACAAAGAAACAAAGACGGCACGCTGGATCGATGGCAACATCACATTGGTCAAAAGGGGCAGAAAGACAGAGCGGCTTCCCCGCGACATGTCTCCAGCGGCAAGAGTCGCCGGGAAGATTCTCTGTGCCATCGAGCAGGTTCTCGGGCCCGAGCGAGGCCAGTACAATGCGAAAACCGCCAAATACGTTCCGCACCAGTTCAGAGACAACAGTTTTAAGGGCGATGGTGGAGCGTGCGGTCCGTATGTTGTCGCCTTTCTCGAATATCTATACAAGAACAAATACTACATGTCGCATCTACGTACCGCTTTTTCGAGACGGAAATGGGATGGCCATTGCCACGCGTTGGATTTTGATTCTCTGTATACAAGAGTTGAGATGCAGAAGATTATCCAGGATGAGTGTGAGAAGAATGCTAAAGCGGGTGAGCTTTCTTTGAAGATGACACCGGATGTCTTTCGTATCCTGAATCCCAAGGTCGTTGCGCCTTGGGTGGCTACGGCTTGGCGCGAGCGGACAGGCGAGCGAGACCACAAGGGCTTATTTGATAGGTATCATTTCCGCAAACATGCGGCTGGAACACATCGCGGAACTCACGGGCCTGGCGGGCCTGGCGGTGGTGGTAGTGGCGGTAGCGGACCTGGCCGTGGACCTGGCCGTGGAAACGGAGGTTCAGGAATGGGGCCGGGCGGTGGTGGCGGTGGCCCTGGTGGCAATAACGGGGGAAAAGGGAATGGGCTGGGAGGTGACGACGGCAACGACTCTGATGACTCAAACCCAGATGTGCAAACGGCGATACGAAACTCTCTTTTGGAGGGCAATGGCAGCTTCCTCGTAAAGACACCACTATTCAAGTATCCTGCAGGCGCTGATCATAGCAACCTGCCCGAATTTGGGACACTCACGGACGCAGAGACCGATGCCTGGCACAAAAAATACGAGAATGATCTTTTCAAGATTTACGGAACACCGAGTTGGAACCGACAAACATACAAAGCTGTACTACATCGCACATTCGTTGGCAGTTTTGGCGGAGTGTCTAACGAGGTTCTCGAAGGTTACATCAACGACACGCATGCCTTCACGGATGAAGAGCGCAGTCAACGTTGGGATATGACATCCGTTGAGCAACGTATGGATCAAACCTACCAGAAGATAGACCTGCCCCTGTTTGCTTCTCTGTCTCCCACGAGTATCGATCACTGGGTCCGGAACCTGCATCCAGATGCGAAGAAGGTCATACAAGATAATGAGGGGAACACTCGATACGATGTCGCCGGCGGACTTCTCTACCGCTTTTTCGTCGGCGAGTTCGCGGATATGCCGGATGAAGACGTGAAAGTTTGGCGAGCGCACGATCCCAATATGATCGCAGATGGAAAGAAGGACATCGACACTGCGAGATATTGGCTGACATGGTACTACTACCGGGGTGAGGCGAAGAAGACACTTCCGTATTTGAAAGAGAGCCCACTTCATTGGCCACATTTTGAACATCGTCAGGCTCATGGGCAGAAGAGGAAGAGAAGCCGAGAAAGAGTCGATGAAGATGACAAAGCAAGCACTGGTCAGCCTTCATCTCCGCCCGCGAAAGGCTCAGAGAACGCGTTGTCAGACCCGAAGTCCATCGACTGGGCCACAATCGACCACGCTACGCTCATGAAGCACTTGAACCAGTTGGAGCAGATGAAGGATGCGCCAACGCACGTACGAAAGGATTCGCGCATTGGCGAGCTATCAAATGACTACACTTACAGGGCTATTCTCTTTGTCAAATACGGCGGAAAGTTTAAGGACGAGAAAGCGCGTTCTGCTACCTGGGTTCGCGATCTCAACGTCTTTACGCTAGGTTCCGAGGATGAAGTCCCCAAACGAGACGTGTTCTACACGGAAGGTGGTCACCTAGTCATCCGAACCAAGGCGGAGAATATTTTGGAGCGGATGCGAAAGAAGTATGAGACAAACTCCGGCAAGCCTGTTTCCAAAGCTACAAGAACATCTCCAGGACGCCAAGGACGTCAAAAGCGTCAAGGACCTGGTGGATCTCAAGGACTTCCCGGACCTACGAACCCTTCAGGCTCTTCAAATCAGTTCGTCCCCCAGAATGTGGCAATAGTTGGAGAGCTACTTGAAGGCTCTCCCTTAGACTTCACGTATACCATCCAGAAACGACTGCAGGAATGGATCAAAAGGCTTCCAGAGAAGATTGCTCCTCGCATCGAGGCAATGGACGAGTGGTCCCAGAAAGCTGTTCTTCAATATCTCTTCGGTGGTTTCAATGAGGTCGCTAAAGGGGACAGACATGTTTGGCTAAAGCAGCACCGTCTATTGGTCGAGAACATGGCATTCGAAGATGCGGCTCGCGTGCTGGAGAATACTGCCAAAGAGTTTGGCAATGAAGGCGTATTAAAAAAAGACATCCTGTGCTATCCTGATTACTACTTGGCAGAGTTCCAGGAGAAAAACAAAGTCCTCATAAAGACAATCGTGGATGCTAAAAAGAATGCTGGGGACGGCAATGGTCAAAGTGGCGGAAAAAGGCATGAGGACCTCTCTGACGACGATATTGTGGATCTCGACGACTTCAAAAACGACGACGAGACCGCGCAGCCAGCAGTCGGAGCTGCTACCCAAGGCGCCAAACGAAAGCATGCCGGAGGCACCGCAAGTCTATTCCCGGCGAAAAGACACAAGGGCGACCGACCAGACTTCTGCACAATGGAAGAACGCGAGGTTCTCCTTTGGCTCGCCAAAGTACCACTCACCTTCAAAAAAGAACTCCTTGACTCAAAGCTTAATTTGTTGCCACTGAAGTCGGCATATGCGCGTGTCATGCTCGAGCGCATATTCAACAAGACGTTTCAGAACTGGGCTGCGGAGGATCCTTTAACTGAAGAGACGCTGGGGAAGCTCAGGCAGTGGAGACTGTTGGGCACTTTCAGTGGCTCTTTTAATGCGAACCCTGCGGGTCTTAAGAAGTTTCTCGACAAGATACTGTATGCAGACAAGACAACGGTTGGTGAAGGGAAGAAAGCGAAGAAAGAAACGGTTGTCTTGCCGGATTATAGTAACAACAAAGATAAATGGCCTGAGAATTGGAGGTAGAGGTGTGGTGAAGGAGATGGAATAGCAGGAGAGCGTGTTGCGGATTTGGTGGGTTTGTTATGTAAAAGAGGACTTGTACAATAGCTCATGTATTGATGCATCCATTAAAAGTTCAATGAATGCTGAACTTCATCGTTCTGCCTTGGAATTCCTTCTCGCCCATGCTTGCAAATATCTCCCCTTCCATATGTCCATGTACGTAGCAGGCACCGACGAGCTTGACGTGACAGATGTCGCCGCTTTGTAATCTCTCGTCGTCGATCAGACTGAGGATAACCGGTACGGAGGATCCATAGAGAATGCAAACCAAGCTTTCATCTTCGCCTGTCATCTGCTCTGGTCCTAGGCCTACGATGGCATCGGCGACCTTTCTCTGACTTCCTGTAGGGCTCTTTTTGACTTCTGACTCGACACTTGCACAGCGGAAAATCTTCTTATGAGCAGTCGCGTTCTGTACGCGCTTCAAGTATTCGATTAAGGTGCTAGGCTGTGAGGGGTCGGCTGCTAGAGCTTCCGAGTTCAGGTCACCGAGATGGTCAAGCTGTGTGAGTGCCAAGGCGCATGCTCGTCGGTACCAGGTAGGAGCCACTTTCGACTCAGGGTCGCGATTCGCCACAAGGGTCCTCCAAAGCTGATCATCGATGCCTCCATCTAGAGTTCCGCACCATCCGAGAGTTCTCAGCCAATCGCTCCTGATCAGTCCTCTAGTGACAGCCGATACTGAGGCTACATCTACCGTGCCTAGCAGCATTCCCTCAAGTTGTATGGTATCGTCGATTGTTGGCGGTATTGATTGTCCTTTAAATGAGATGCAGTGTGATGCGTGGTAAACCTGGGAGCCAACAGGTCCTAACAGACTATCTGAAGGAATATGATACCGAGATTCAGAGCGATTCTGACCAAATATTGCTGCTCCGATCCAACTGGGTAGTAACCTTTCGTTGTATCCGTACCGGGCGTTCAAGTGGGACCAACAAGCCCAATGCCGGTAAAGTACATCGAGAGAGTTGGACTTTCCGATGCTATAACGTACGAAGTCCTTGAAGATATCCACGGGATGTCTTGAATAGTCCGAAGTGAAACGGTGTTGCACTTGCGATGCCGAAGAAGTGTCAACAACGTCGTGCATGTCATTGGCAAGGTAAAGTAGAGCGTATATAGTATCTCGAACATCCGATGCTGCGAAGTGCGAGGCTGTGAGTACCAAAGACTCTAGACTCATCAGCCTAGATGTAATTGACGCATCTAGAGATTTTTGAAACACATTACGCGAAAATCTCATGAGTGCCACCGCCTCTGCACTATAACTATCATTATGATCCCAACGAGCCTTGAATTGAGTGTAGGGTGCCGAGTGGCGATAGTGTGCTCGTATTTGATCGAAATTGTCGGAAAATAGATCCACGGCATCAGCAAAATCCAACCAGCTCAAGATATGGTGGCCAATGCGTACCGAGAGTCTTCTTGCACAGGCAACTTCCTGTATTACCCATCGACGCCGGAACCAAGGCTGCCGTAGAGCGCGCGCGAAGGCTAACCAAGCATGGAAGCGGGTGTCTTTATCTATGGCGTCTCCTCGCAAGTCGGAATCAAGCGTCTTTAGGTTCAGAATATCCGGAACCAGACTTACAGCCAATTCATTAGTCGCTCGACCAGCGTCTCCAAGCCATGCAATGACATTCCAGGCGCTGGAGTAAATGCAAGGCATCTTTGGGATTTGCTGACTTTTCTCTTCCTGATTCGTTTGTTCGATGCATAAACAGTCTACCCATAGCCACAGATAGTCGTCCGTAAGGCGAATGTGCTTCAGGGCTTGATAGAGGTTTCTGCGGATGGGATACGTCCGGGGACGTGTCAACGCTTGACTAGGAAAATCGCCGTCACCTGATCTGGGAAGATCACTTAGGAAGACTTCGTGTGAGGGAGGGTCGCTACCCCACGCATATGAAAGAGCTTGGAATTCGTGGACCTCTGTCGTGAGTTTCTCCAAGGGGACGACTTTTAGAGAGCATAATAAGCTGCTCGCGAAGAGCCCGGGTGAGATACGGAGGAGTCGGATCTCACTGTCTAAGAGAGGGACATGCTGGTATGTCACTGTGCGTTCGAGATCTGAGGGGCTGAAGTCTTCGATATGATCAGAACAGTCAGAGACACTGTCTAAATCAAAGATTTGCTCGCCGTGATTTGTATCATTCTGCACGCGAGAAGATGGTCCTGCACCAACAGGTGAACCAGCTCGAGCCGACGAATCGCTATGATAAAAGCTTTCTGCAGGTGACTGTGATCTTGTCCTTTCGCTGTCAGAGTAGTGAATGGGTGACCTAGGGCGGCGACGTCCCGATGCTGCGGCGCGACCACCTTTGACTAGCCGTCGTGCAGGAAGTTTGATGCACTTGAGATTCAATCGAGAACATCGGGTGCATCTCGTGAATGGATATTTCAAGTCACACTTGTTCTTCGTCTTTGCACAATTAGTGCAAGTCGAGTTTGAGCGTTGGGAAGGCTTCATAGGCAGCATTGTCGGCGACTCTGGGACCGTTACTCCTGGCGCCTCCACATGTGGTGAAGACGCTCGTTTGACTGAACGAGGTGTATACTCTTCTGCTACGGGGTCCGTTTGTTGCGCAGACTCCTCGCGTATGTCGCAATTTGTCTGCTGGGCTATACAACTGGGGTCAGGATTTGATATTCCAAGACGACACTTTCCTAACCTTCAGTGCGACTTGGACCGCAAGAGTCCAAGGCTGTGTCCACAAGTTGCTCTCTCAACCTGGCCACTTTTCTCGAGGCGGTTCCCAGATCGCATTCCTGTTCCAGGCGGGCGCAATTGGTACACATACCTCTCCGATCGTCGGGGACTGGAGAGCATCCTGCCTCTGTTTCCCGGCAGTGACTGCATGGCGAGTCTGAGCGGTGGCGTCGTTTTTCTCCTCTTGCGCTGTGCGCAGACAATGGCGTAGGATCCATCAGTCTGTCAACGGATGGTGTTGCCTACTGCAGCGAGATGAAACATGTATTGAACAGAACCGGGCTGTATGATCGAGCAGGCGAACGGCTTTGGGTAAGCGCCAAGATTGCGTCGTATGTATGTACTGCGCCATGCATGTAGGCAAATGTGGTGTAGTGGGAAGCCTCATTGCCTTACGCTATACCGCATAGAAATAAGCAGCCACGCATAGCCTCGGTGGTCTTCCTGAAACGTCTAATGACAGAATGTCATGGTCAAGCATTGAACGGTGGATGGATACGTGGCGGTATTCATCTCGCCATAAGCGCTGCCTTGCAAGACGAATCCAATGCATAACTACAAGAAGTGACGATGATCTGGGCAACATCTTCCGTTGCGGAACGGTGTTGATATTGCCTAACAGCCTAATAGAAATACACCGACGATAAGGTGGATTGAGGCTATGCATTCGCCTGGAACTGTTAGATCTCGTCTCGCTATTACAGTGGAATGTTCCATACGCACCGTATTTGCCGTCTCCTCTGACATCCAAAATTTATACATGGGAAAGCATGATGCCTTATGAGGTTCGTTTCTCGATGGTTGAGATTTTGGGTATCACATCTTGAAGTTGCTCTCGATCTTTCTCGGTTGGGGTAAGGCCAAATTTCTCCTCAGCCTTGTCGGATATGTAGAGGCCAGCGCCCGCGTACGCCATGACGCCCACGCCAATGATCATGCGCGTCTTGGGCGGTATGTTCTTGAACCATCTATCTCAATGTCAGTGGTGGGAACGTACATATGCAGGGTGCGCACGTACTGCCAGACAGCCATGTCGAGGATGAGAATGTGCGAACGCGTTGGTGTCGCAAAGTTCGCGATGACGACGCTGAGGGCTCAGCGCCAAGCCTGGAGCAGCTCTCAGACTCGAGCGCGACACGACGTCAGCGCTCACATGCGTAAACTCGTCTCGTACATTCACTCATTAGCATTGAACACTGTTCTTTCATTCACCACACAATAGTCATCCCGTTCGAGCCAAGTATGGTCTCATAGCTTGGAACCTTGAACATCGATCGCCGCACCTCCGCACCCACTCCGCACCCTGAGACCACCTGGGCAGATGTGCGCGCTATTACCACCCGCCTCTTGAGCGCCTCCGCCAGCACCATAAGGCCTCTACCACTCTCTAACTATGCCCGGCTTCCGCCGCTGGGGCAAGTCCAGATTCGAGCGGAACCCCGAGTCGTCGTTCAAGCTCCTCGCGGCCATCATCGTCATCACCCTGTACCTCCTCATCAAGGAGTTCCAGAACCCGACTGTTCGAGAGAGGGACATACCGAAGTTCGGCGCACAAATACAACATGCGGATTGGAATGGAACGGGCAAGGCGGACGAGGCACGGGCGAAGAGCGTGCGGGATGCCATGAAATATACCTTTTGGAAGTACAGGGAGAACGCCTGGGGTTGCGATGACATCCTACCCGTGTCGGGAGGCAACTCGTCATCCAGAAATGGATGGGGAGCTTTCATCGTGGACTCCGCGAGCACATTGGCACTCATGGGACTATGGGACGAGTTGGCGCATTCTCTCGAGCACATACTCGCCATCGACTTCAACGAAGCGAAGGACCTCGTCGACCCTTTCGAGACCACGATACGATACCTGGGCGGGCTTTTGTCTATTGTAGATATGTACGACACGGGGCTCATTCCGGAAGACGTACTGAGCGAAGAGGCACGCGATCTTGTACTGGAGCATGCTGTCACCCTAGCGGGGAAGCTTGCTCCAGCGTACGATACCCCCACAGGCATGCCATGGCCTCGTGTCGACTTTGAAACAGAGCAGGGCGAGCCAGATCCTTCCTTCGTCTTCAGCGACGACCCAACCAAACACGGCTACGACCAGCACCCCGCTATAGGCCCTGCGCGGACTGGCTCTTCGATCCTCGAGAACCGCGTCTTGACCAGATTGACTGGCAACTTGACATACACGCAGAACTCGACGAACGCGTGGGCGCCACTTGTATGGTCGAAATGGAAGACACCGTGGCCAGGCATGGTTGACGCGCCTGTCGACATCATGACAGGGGAGCCAGTGGGCCGCCAGAGGCATTGGGATGGTGGACACGATTCATACTACGAATATCTCGTCAAGATGACGCTCCTAGCACCGCCAACAGATCCCCATCTTGGCACATACAAACACCGATTTACAGACGCGGCATACTCCTTACGCAAACACCTCAGTTCCCGTTCCGCACCAGCGCCCGACCACTACATGCAACATCTCTACATCGGCCGATACAACAAGGAATACGAAAACCAGCAAGGGCACCTCGCCTGCTTCGCACCCGGTACCATCCTCCTCGCATCCCGACTTTACGACGAACCCTACCTCCGTACCTTTGCGCTCGCGCTCCTCGAAGGCTGCCGCCACTCGTATACCTCTACACCCACCAAGATCGGCCCAGAGACATGGGCATGGATACCTAAATTCGGATACGACGATCCGCTCTTCATCCCCGAGACCGCCCGTCAAGAGCGCGAAGCGATGGCTAGCGGTATCTGGGCACTAGAACCAGCATACAAAGGCCGGCCTGAGTATGTGGAGAGCGTATTCTACGCATGGCGCATAACGGGCGACAAGCGGTATCGCGAATGGGCATGGGAAGCTTTCTCCGCTATGGAAAAGCATTGCAAAGCGCCGTTTGGATACGCGCAACTGGCTGATGTGTATGATACAAAGTCAAAGGGCGAGGACAAATGGGTGGATATGCAAGAAAGCTTCTGGGCTGCGGAAACGTTGAAGTACCTTTGGCTCACGTTTGCGGATGTTGAGGTTGCGAGTTTGGATAGCTGGGTGTTTAGCACTGAAGGGCATCCGTTTCGTATGATGCGGTGAGCGGGACCGTCATGGTACGGTCATACATGGAAGAAGAGAGAACACCACTTGTTGGAGGGAAGGGCAACATAACAGTCAGAGAGACTCATAAGAGCTCATAACAGATGTCCAGCACAGCGGCAAGCTACACAGCTGGCCAAACAGCAACGGCGCAAAGATACCCAAAATCAAATTCGCTTCAATAACAAAATCAAACAACTATTGTAACATCGCTTCACTCTCTCAACATCTGCATCATTTTTTCACACCCTGTCGCTCACAGCACTTAGCTTCCTCCGCCACCACCTCCACCACTACCTCCACCACTATCACCGCCGTATCCATGACTATGCCCGTCATCATGTCCACTGCTATGTCCATGACTATGCCC